AAGTGTTGAATCCCACCTGGGATTGATGAGGTCAAGTTTCACGAAGCTAGTGCGACATGTTGCGCGGCTTGAAAGTGCATGCCTCAACTGCGCATGCAACCTGTGAACTCATGCCATGTACCAGTAGCTAGAGCTTTCGTCACCTCCCTCCGGGTCTCAAGTATACATATATGGATATATAGATACAGAGCCGTTTCTCTCTCTCTCTCTATATATATATATATAATATGTATATATATATACACACATGTGTATGTGTAATATATACAATATATATATATGTAGATAAACAGATACTATAGACATGCTGAAGGTCACCAGGTTCTTTATGAACACGCCTCCTGAAACAACTACGAACCACCGATGTGATCTCGACCTTCCACCGGCTTCAATTAGCCCACGACGTGAACACGGAGTCGCTCTCCTGAGGTTTCGAGCGCAAGCTGCTAATTTTCATATCCGCTGCATCCTCAGATTCTGAGAGCAGTGCAGGCAGCAGATCAGCGATTTGCTGCAGGTTGAGAACGCAATCCTTGTGCTCAAGACTCTCATAGACACGGTCCGGCACTAACCGCCCTACGTAGCTAGCGGCTGCTAGCGGCTGTCGCAGGTCTCTAACGTCGTTTCGTTTCAGACGCATCGCTTTCACAGGCCATCGGTCCCAGCAGCACCGCGCAGCGAAGGATCGAAGAGCTTCTTAGTTCACAAAGTTGTTGTTTCTGACGGCAAGATATGCCCATGTGCCACGGTGCATGGAGATTTGAGGCATCAGGCGAAGGTGATCCCAAAGATCCTGCCTCTTGGCTTGCAAATCCTCACAAGTGGCCATCGCGCGCCGTCCAGCTCCCTCTCTCTATTTAGGCAGGAGCACAGTCCAACAAGCTGGAGCGTGCTTGTGTTGCCGGCTTGATTGGAGCATAGAACTCGTGCAAGCCTGTTATGATCCTCTTATGTCTCCGGTGCAGACGGTGTTTTGCCAGGCGAAGGGAGCTTCAAAGCTTGCATTGCCGAACGGACGAAGCAGCTTGTGCTGAACTTCAGTGCTGGTGAAATTTCCTGAGCTTCGACATCCATCATGTCTGCCGGTTTTCCCGGAATGAATTGCTACGGTCATGACAAGGATGAGTGGAGCTGGCATTGAGCTTTGTTGTCTTCACAATCTTGCATGTTTGGTTTTGCAGGATCTGATGGCCTCGCTAAAACTTCGGGGTGGGAAGTGCATCTGACAGTGCCATGGCATGTGCAGGTATCGGGGAGATGCTCCGATGCACGTAGGAGTCCAATCACAATCGATGGAAGATGTAGCGTGGTGTGCTGATATGCAGCAGTAAGGCAGACAACCAGGTTGTTGGAGCCAGCACAAGAGTAGGGAACATGTTCATCAGCAACCCCGGCTTCTGCCACAGCTGACTTGCAATGCCAAGCCAGCTGACGGCCAGTGCTACAGAGTGCATGGACTTCAAAACGAAGTCTTGCCTCACAGCCAAAGTCTGGAGAGCCATGTAGATAAAGGGCTACGGCAAAAATCAGCCTTGGCCTTGTATGGATAGATTGCGGAGTCAGCGCGACTTTGCGCAGTAGGCAAGCTGTTCGATGCAACCGGATCTCATGTGGATTCAAGCAGTTGTCGAACGGGCTAACACTCCTCTTTGCTGCATGGGAGTATTCCCGGCGAGCATCTTTTCAAGACTCCAGCGTCGTCCAGAATATTGAAGCGTTTGAAAGAGGCACCTGTGTTTGAGAGCGCGTGAGTGTGCATGAGCTTCTCGACTCGAGGCCTCGCAGAGGCCCCCAAGGCCCAAGGCTTTTCTTTTGCAGCTGTTTCAACGTAGCAGCCAGGCAGGGTGCCCGGGGGGGCTACCTGCCTGTGCGCAGGCCGGTCTTTGCTGGCATCTTCCACTCTCACAGTGCTTGTTTGATTGGGTGCTGATGCGACATTTATTTGTTGGGTGTAGAACGGCCACCCTGTGGCAGATGCGGCTGTATGGAGCCTGGAAGCTGCTTCCTTTGCTGCCATGGGCGTCGCTTGTCTTCAGAGCCTATTGCCAGACGGAAATTGTTGTCTCTTCTGCTGCCGCGGGTCGGGTGATGGTTTTCAGGCGAGCATTGCTCAGCCGCAGGGCCGAAGCTGGTGTGGGCCTCATGTGAGGTGAGTTGCAGGGCCTGGATCCTCCGAAGTTGCAGTTCCACTTAGTCTAGCACGGGTGAACGGTGCATCAACTCGCAATTCGTAAAGCTCGCAGGTCTAGCCTCCTTGGCGGCCTCTGAAGAGGGAGAGGCAACGGGCAAGCGACGCCCCTCACTAGCACTCGTGAGCCTTTCGCTCAGGCCCGGCAGAGTTCGGACTTGATCTTGGAGGCGTGCATGCAGCAGGACCAGTGGCATCGCCCGGCTCCCATGACCAGATGCACTGACATGATTAGCAGATGTCCATGTGCCGCGCATCAAGGCATTCTGCTTCACAGCCAGCTAAAGGGCGTTTGCATGGAGATGTGCCTTGCACCCAGTTTGCCTTCGTTGAAATTTACGCTGCAGATTTGCAGATGCCGTGTTGAATCACAACATCTCCAGGATGCTCTGTCCCGTAATTATGGAGCACATTTCATGTATTCGTGTATTCCAAAGAGTTAGAGTCATTGTTCCAAAGGGGTTATTGCGATTGACTGAGGCAAGGCCGCACGGTGCCGAGAATTTTATACACTTGTGGCAATTCCACAGCAGATTTCGCTTGCACACAGAGCAAATCCAAGCAGCCTGATGACACTTTGCGAGGTTGGGCTGTATCCAAACTGTCCACAGTGTGGCAGTGGGTCGGCATCTGCTGCTGCTGGCCATCCGGGCGATGTCGCAATCCCAGGGCCGTCTACTGAGGCCTCGCCAGGTGCCCAGGGGCTCTGCTTTCCTCTCCTCTGAGTGTTGAAGTCTCAGCTCCAAACTCCTGGACTGAATTAATCCCTGACAGTGCCTTTCCGAGTGCTCTTGCAATTGCATGCTGCACTCGGACACTGCCACATAAAAAGTTAGTTTTTTGTCCGAGGACCTGGGATAGCATTCTCTTTCACATGGAACAGATGGGCCAATGGGGAAGGGAAATGATCAGGCGGGAAACTCAGCCGTGGAGGCTGTTCTTGAGAATCTTGTGAGATCTTGCAAGGCACTGGGAGACTCCCGAGAAAACATCTCAGTTACAACTGTGGGGAGCCATGGAAGTGGACCGTGCATCCCGCAGTGAGAACATGCAGCAAGTTGAATGAAGGTCTGCGCGTACTGCCGCTAACAGCACGCTGAAGACCCAAATGAACGCATCAAGCTGCGTTGCTGCAGATGCCACGTGCGGGTGCCTGGTTCATCGAATTGTGATGGCCTTTCTCATCTTGATGGACAGTTCGCCAAGGCGACGCACAGAGCTTCAAGGCGAGGTGCTTCTGGGATTCTGAAGCACTTCTGCAGTTCTGTTGTGGGGTGGTGGCTCACATGTTTTCGCTTCCGTGGAAGTGACAGCCAGAGCATGGCTTCAATCAGCTCTGGTCGAGGAAAAGCCGCGCGTGAATGATGCTGCCGTAGATCACCAAAAAGTGTTATAGAGCACTACGACAGACATGACGACCACGACGACCAAGACAACCACCACCAGCACCACCACCAACACCAGGATCACCACAACGACCAGGACGACCAGGACGACCAAGAACACCAGAGGCCTAGAAGGATGCCACAGATCAGCAGAGCACCAGGAGACCCAAGTGCCCAAGTACTGGCCCAAGATGCTTTGAGGAGCCTGGCCAAACTGCTTTCCGGTCTGGGCCCGATATTTATGCGACGCTTGTTCTAGCGCGATTCCATCATGGCTTTCCGCTTTCCCACAAGTACCAGCGGGATTCATGAGAACCGGCCGAACTGCTTCGCGAAGTGATTTCGAGGCCAAAAGAGGCGTGGATGTAGCGGGAGCCGCCTGCCGGGAAACGTTTTTCCGCGGGCACTTCGCGGCCGCTCCAACCAGTTTGTCTTACTCTCCACCTTCGTACCCCAGATTGTATGTCTGCTTTGAAAAAATGCAGGAAGCCTTGTGTTCCTACGCTTTCAAGAACCCACCCCCAGCTTTAAGAGAGCGGCTTCACAGCCTCACAGGAAGGATCCTGGCAACCTGCGCAGACATCTGCTCGGGGCTCAGCGTCTCAGAGCTCACGCGCCTAACCCCACGATCCTTGAGGCCATGGTCCGACCTGCAAGGAGTGTCAAACTTTCGCCGACTCCTCACTGCTCCAACAAGCGCGAGCTCCCTGAAAGAAGCATATTGGCTTGGGTAAGGCAGCGCGAGAGACAAGTTGGTCCTTGCTCATGAAGCAGGCAACCATTCTCTTGCAGCCATGTTGACTTCTGCTGCTGCACACCTGCTGATCTAGCTGCACTTGATGAGCCGGGAGCATGACGGCACCGCCAGCCATGTGGCTCAAGATGACCACACTATGAAGAGTGCACGATCGAGAGTGCGCAGCGGAAGTCTTGAGGTGGCATCACCTAGATGGAGAATGTTGGAGAGCCATGGAGCTGGAGCAGTCGAAATATGGTTTCAATTTTGGATCACTACCTTAGCTTCCGATGAGTCGGTGGTGGCCCTTTCGCCGAAACCAGGACCTGAATTGTATTTTTCGGTCTCAGCACCTTGTCCTGGCGCGATATGTTTTCGACGCTTCAGGATCTGGCAGATGCTTCCCAGACCGATGCTTTCCGTCTGTTTTACGATTCCCGCAACAGCTGTGGTGTAAAGCTGGGCAGCCGTGAGCCATGAACAGACACGACTTCTTGTGATTGCAGCGCTTTGGGCATCTTGTGGCATACTTCCGCGAGATCCCGCTGCATCTGAGGCCGTGGTTGCCTCCTCTTCCTCAACGCCAACGCCTAGCTGGCTTCCGACCTTTGCCGGAGGCCCTCTGCTCTGCTGAGTTCCGGATACTTGCCCTTGCTTGCCCCATCGATGCCCTTGTGTGGCAAGGTCGAGATGCCCGGGACATCGAGTCACAGCCGAGCGGCGTGAGTTTGCCGTCGATACGCTCCATAGGCCCATGGACTCGGCCTCGGACGGATGTCCACCCTGGGACTCAGCAGCGCTCTCCGCTCGCAGGAGGTATAAGCATGAACGAGGCCGAAGAGGCCTTGATATTCTGCGATCGACGTTAAGATGCCAATGCCAAGTCTTTGGGTCTAGGATTTGCCTCCAGGCTCTCACAGCAAACTCGGATGTCATGTGCCCATCGATGCGACCCAGCTGCAACCCTTCAAATCTTGAAGCTTGAAGCTGCTCCTAGTTGGTGTCGATGCGAGGACAATCAAGCAGCGGATCACTGGCTGGCTGTCATGCACCCTGGCTTGCCTAGTTGCTTTGTCTGCCACACTGCTTGCTTTGCGGTGCCAGGCACTGAAGGCGAGTCTTGCGGTCTCGTTTACAACGGTGAAAAGTCTTTTTCCCACCGCGCTTGCTCTTTTTCCAGCCTCTTGACTCTTTGTTCTGACCTTGCATCTGAAGTCGTTGTTGCCGCACTGCTAAAAAATAGTTTATCCATCGGAAGAAGGCCAACATCAAACAACATAGTTTCACATCTTGCCAAAGTGACTGAACATAGCATCGCGTGCGCAAACTGATCCATAGCGCTGTCGTCAACGCTGTGGTCGAGCTCTCATCCCGAGCACCTCCCCTGGTTCCTCAGGGCCTCCCCTAGCTCCTTTGCATGCACCAACCGGTTCAACATCCCACTTCTGTCGGATATTTCATGAATTTCCGAGTCTTCCTGTGTTTTGCTCGTGCATGCTTTGGTTCCTAGTCGCCGGCAGGTTTGGTGTCCATCATTCATGTGTTGACCTGGCACTTTTCGCCAAACGCTCAGTCATTTGTTAAACCGTCGGGGCTTGTGATGTTCGGTACTTTACGATTTCGTGGGCCACCAAAGCACAGCCAATTACAACACGAAAGCCCCAAACTGTCGGGGCTTTCTGAATCAACATTGCTCCTATCATTGCTATAACTGTTACCACCGCCACCACCACCAACAACAACAAATACTACCACTACTACCGCTGCTACTACTGTTGCTCCTTGTGCTCCAACTACTGTATTCCTGCTGCCACTACTGCTGCTACTACTGCCACTACTGCCACTACTACTATTACTACTACTACTACGACGACGACGACTACTACTTCTACTACTGCTGCTGCTGCTGCTGCTACTACTACTACTACCACCACCACTACTACTACCACTACCATCTGTGCTCGACGCATGGAGCCGGCATTATCCAGCATTCGTGGTGACGCAGTCCTGGCAACGTGCTCCATCCAGAAGCTTTGCACGGCGCGCTAGGTGGCAGGATTACAGGCGTGCAGGAAGTCCACAGAGTCACAGAGTCAGTGTTGACTCAGCTTAACTGGCTTAATTTTTGTTGTCCATGGCTCGCCTCTCAAGTCATCCGAACTACTGCGAGGTCTGGCGCTGGGCTTGGTTTTGGAGTTCAGCGGCATGGGCCGCGGGGTCCGTGCAGTAGTGGGGGGCGAAAAAGCGGCAGAGCGAAATTTGACGGCAGGAAGAGCCACCAGTTTAAGTTCAAGTGCCCCGACGCAGATCTGCCTAGGCTGTTTGGTGGGTCACCGAGGATTTGCCATCTTGTACAGCGTGGGAAACTTGATCGCTTTGATGGGAACCTTCTTCCTTGCAGGGCCTATGAGGCTACAGAGTTCCACTTGCTGTGACCGTGTCGGTTTCACGACCGGTTGGTGAAGCGTTGACGCGAAGGCAGATTCGCCGAATGGGCCGCGAGCACCGATGGGCGGTCTCTCTCTGCTTTCTGGTGTCTATGGTGCTGACTTTGGTCGCTGCTCCGGCTGCAGTGAGACATGGCAGGCCAAGGACTCTCTGCGTGGCTTGGGCACTTCTCAGGTGGCTATGCTCCCGGGCAACTGGCATGGACGAACATTGATCCTGCTTATACTCACGCTCATTCAGTGGGCCTCATTGGCTCCATGGTCCAAAAAGCATGTGGCGAGCTTGGCGCGCTTTCGATCTTCTGTTCCAGATTCTCAGCTGAGGTTTGGTACACGTCTCCTGGCTGCAAGCAGCAATTGGTTCAGGGTGACAAGAGTGAGTCCAGGCTTTCCTACATTCCTTTGGGCCGACGCACAGCGCTAGCAGCTATGAGGAGCTGCTGGAGACGCTGTGTGGGAGAGTGAGGACTCCTCCCAAAGCCCCATTACTGACCCGCAGACTAATCTGTACAGCTTCTGGCCGGCATCCGAGATGCCTGGCGTCCCTTAGCAGCAGTCTGTTGCAGAGCCCAGCCGTAGCCTAGCTCTGACACACAGAGGGCTGGGATTCGCACAGGGCACAGGGAGCAGAAACAACTGCTGCCAAAGTTGGTCTTCTTCCGGACAGATGCAGGTGGACCTTCTCGGGCATGCCTTCAAGCGGGCCGTCCAGGAGCTGGGAGTCACCAATACGGTCGGAAGCAGTGTTTGCTGCAGCTTGCTGCTTATTTATCATTCGCAACGATCTCCTCAATTGGCGGTGCTCTGCTGCAGGAAGCTCGCGAGGATGCGTTGGACAAACAGGAGGAAGCATCTTTTCAAATGGAATAATGAAGCTGAGCTTGCACCCCTCGAAAGACAGTTGCAACCACTCGAAAGCTCCTGCAGAGATAGAGAGAGGGAGGGAGGGAGGGAGAGAGAGAGAGAGAGAGCGTGAGCACCGCCATGCGCCGCACACACTTTACCACGGCAGGAGAAGCTCTCAATTTTTTGCTTTGCCTGGACGCCTCGGCGAGACTATGATGAGAAAATGTTAGCTGAGACCCGAAAGCAGCAGCTTTGCGACATTTTCGTAGTGAGGCCGATTAGCTATCGCTTCCTATGCCTTCCTTGATTGGAAACCCAGCGGGAAGCTTTGTTTTGGCTGCAAGGTATCGAAAGTGTGACGGCCATATCTTCTACACGGACCATGCTGCTCCTGGAAAACAGAAGGTCCCAGCTCAGAAGTTGTTTCCACTCGTCCCAACCCTAAACCGAACAGGAGACTGACTTCATGAGGGTCGTCGTGCCTCCACAGAGCGTGGACCGCAACGATGACAACTGGCTATATCACAGGACAGATGTGCCTGAAAGCATGACGAATCACACTGATGGGGGTGCGATGTGGGCTTCTAGCCACGACCTGACCTGTTGGACCGTTTCAGATTTCGTCAGATTCTTGTTTGACAGGAACATGGTTGGCCTTATGCCGTCATGGAACCATCTGATCCGAGTCTAGCACTGCATTGATCTATGATGTTCGGAGTTCTCGGAGCGCTTCTCGGATCGGAGTTCTTGGAGCTGAGATTCGAACTTCGTGGACGAGCACGACTGGTTCATCAACTCCGAATTGGATCACTTCCTCAGCCCCGCCTGGTACCGAATGTTATGCATATGCCGCAAGCGAATCAAGCTGGAGCATCTGAGGCACGAGCCAGACAGACGATTGCCGAGTACCTGCGTGGACTCCGCGATGGCTCCGAGGAAGAGCAGGCGACGCCGAAGCAATCTCGGAGGGAGAGCGCCCGGACCGGCGGTCGCTCTCTCTACTCACTGGAAGAAATCTCTCAAAATTTCTGGAAGGCCAGCCTCGATGGGCCGATCATGCTGATGTGGGGGAACGCCTTCGCCAGTGGCTCAGAGCGGCTCTCGAAATCGGCCCGCTCGGAATACTCGCCCCACGACATGCCACGCTTCGTGTAACAGGGCTTTTTTTTGGCAGAGGTCTTCAACAGGAAGTTCATGCAGGTCATGAAGCAGCACTGGGGCAAGCTAGGCCGAGTCTCCGAGAGGTCCTTGTGGGCCAAATGCTGCTTGTGCCTGGCCTGGGACAGGACGGACTGCCCGGCCAGGAGGCCCCGGCGATGAGGCGGCGGCCGTTGGCTGTCCCATGCGCACCGCTCAGAGTAGACGCCCAGCGTCTGCGAGCATCCATGCCCAAGTCCTCCATGCTGTTCATGAGTTTGACATCAGGTTCATGGACGACACGGCAGAGTGGCCTCATAGCTGCTCCCAGGACGTTGTCTACCCGCATTTGGCGGCAAACTCAGACCACGATTCGGGCTTCGGATCTCTCTATGTTGTGGATGCCAGGCGACCGTCACTTTGCCCCGACAATTTGGTGTGACTGTTGCAAAGCCGGGATCTGCCGGCTGTGGCGCCGGTTCAGTCAATGGCAAGCACAAGGCGCTTTGCGTGCGAATGTCAGTCTGGGCGCCTGGGCGGGGCCTAAACGGCCCAAAAGCCTTCGGCAGGCATACCCTTTGGGCTGCTGGGAGCTGCATCTCAATCCCATCCACGGTGGGGAGCAGGCAGCTCTGAAGGCGATCAAGGCGCAGAGGGCCGGCAGAACAGGTCTCTGCGGTACTGGCGATACTACTCTCCCAGGTTTTTGACGGGTTTGTGGTTTTCTTGGGTGAGCAAGATCTCCAGAGCGCTCTCTTCCCCGCAATCGTGGAAGATTTAGCTCTTCTAAATTGACGGCTTCCCGGCGAGACTCCGAAAGGCACCTCTCTTTATGCAAGCGTAGTGCAAGACAGCACTTCGAGAGCTCGGTGCCGGGAAGGAGCTGGCAGAAATGAACCGCTTCAAGGCCAGCTTGCTGAGTCTAAGGCCTAAGTCCAGGAAGACTTAAGGGGTGGAAAAGTCTTCAGGCATGCTTTTCTAAGATGTGCCTTTCCTGGCTAGGATCCCAAGAAGGCTACCGAATACTGCGGCCTGGATGCATTTGTGCTTCACAGCAGAAAGATCACCTTTTCTGTGGTTGCGCCCAGTCCGGAGAGTCTCGGCAATGCAGGTCAAAGACACAAGCTGGATGCCGTGCGGAATAACTGCATGCGCTTCTGGGACGGCAGGACTGGGGATACTGGGGAGCATCGTGGCGACATGACTCAGACGGTGATGGATGGCGCATAGCGAGAAGATCACGGGGACCAAGCATAGTTGAAAACCTTGCGCCTGGAGGAACGTGCCCCTCATCCACCACTTGCACACCGTGCCTGGTCCTTGCATCCCGTACTCGATATGGAATCCCGAATGCTTCGGTGTTTAGAGCGATGTGCAAGACAGGATTCTGCACCAAGGTCTGAGCAGCAGCTGGCCCGGCAGCTACTTGACCACGACTCATCCCCGTGATATGCAGCCCCACAAGCAGCGTCGGCCAAAGCAATGCTGGCAAAACGAGATCTCTGTCCAGGGACTGCGAGCCTGTGCTGTCATGAAAGCGAACTGATCAGCCAGAGCGGGAAACAGACCAGTACTTGCGATGAGTCTTATTCTTCTTGCCCTTGATAATCGATTCAAAACATTCGCAATCAGGCGGCTGCTAAGAACTACTCCAAATGCCCGCGACTCTGAATGCTGGCTGAGCCGGCAGACTATTCTCCCTATGGTGTTTGAGGTGCTAGATGCCTTAAGACCATAATCTAAAGCTGAAATGTCCTGACCGTCAGGTCTTGAATCCCAAACCCCAAGTGAGCAAGGAGTTAATTGGCCCAACATCTGGAACCCTGTCACAAACATGTCGTGTCTCAGAGTCTGTCCACCGGCTGCTGGATTGGCGCGCACAAAACCTGCTTCTACTGCAAATCCGAACGTGATGTCCGACTATTTGCAGCATCATGGCACTTGTTCTTGCATCTCCAAGCCGAAATTCAAGGCTACAGCAAGGTTGGGGGAAAATGACCACAATGCTTGCAACCATTTCGTCTGCAGCTACATGGACAATGTCACCTCTCAAGCATCGGGGGATTCCTGTAAGGTGGAGGGAGAACCTTGCGGTGCGACTTTGGGCTCAAGGGGTTTGGTCAAGACGCGGACCGGCAGGACCCTGTAGAACAGGGGTGACTTCATTGCCCAATGGGAAGCAACTAGAGAAGAGATCAGCTGCATAGGCATAAACCTTATACCCAGTTGCCTAGGCCCATCGTTTAGCCGTTTAGCCGTTCAGCCGGTCCGGCATTTTAGATTTCGCTGTCCAAAGGAGTCACCGCAATCGCTGGCGCCATGGCCGCCTGTGTACGAGGAAGCAGCCCACTGGAGCTCTTTTGTCAAGAAACTGCAGGCTGCACGGTTGCGGTATCATCATTGTCATTAGACAATTGTTTCCCACTTTGTTTTGCTACGATGAGGAAAAGCCTTTGAAGAATGGGTTTGTTTTCAGTCCGCAGGTCGATGAAGTGCCAGGGATATCTGCGCAGAGATGCTGTCCTTGTAGAATCCTTGACCCCGACGCCCCACCTCAAGCTCGCTTTGGCTTTTGATGGTTGTAAACCTCTGGCCGGGCAAGCTGGCGAAGCACGACGAAGCATTGTGCGAAGCATCGTGCGAAACATCGCGAAGCGCCTCTGAGGAGAGAAACCGCCATGCTCCTTTCACGTGGCTGCTCCCTTGGCCAGATTTTTTGCCTGCTTTCCTGGAGTCGTCAGCTAGGTGGGCTTTCAGAACTCAGTACGGTCAACAACAGCTTAAAGTGTGCATTCACTGAACCGGCACGCTGACATGAGCATCACGAGCACAGCTTTTGCAAGGTTGACAGGGGTTACACAAGGTTTGCAGGGCCTCCTATACATTCTTGTGCATGTGGTATCCATCCATCTTCAGCTGACGAATGCGGACGATCGGCAGGGGGCGCAAGCGTCTTTGTGCCAAATGCCACCACGTTAGGCTGGCCAGGACTTCCTCGAAACTAGACACCGAGTATCCCGAA